AAACTATTTGGTTCGATCTTTGTTGATAACTGATAAGGTGGGGCTGAGGATGAGGCTCAGAGGTCAGGTTTGTAAAAAGATTCCCAGGTGATTCTAATGTGCAGCCAAGGTTGAGAACCACTGGTCTATACAGTAACATGTCACACAGGCAGCAAGTTTCTTTTTTTTTTTATTGTTTTATTGCTTAAAGTATTACAAAGAGTATTACATATGTCTCCTTTTTTTCCCCGCCCTTGACAATCCCCTGGCCTCCCCTACCCCCCAGTGTCTTATGTCCATTGGTTATGCTTATATGCATGCATACAAGTCCTTCAGTTGATCTCTTACCCTCCCCTCCTGCCCCCCAACCCTCCCCGGCCTTCCCAAGGCAGCAAGTTTCTTAGAGCAGCGGGCGTCAGCCTCTCGGACCTCACACACCGCTGTCTTCCAGAACAGACATTGATATCGTAAATGCTCACTGTGACGTAGCTCGTGGGATGGATACATCTCTTTTCTGAGCCTGATATTTTAGAGCACTTTGCATTGTATCATTAAACATCTCTGGTATTGCTCAAAGATATCCCTTCTATAGGTGTCCTGGTAATATATTGGATCTGCATGTCACTTGAGAAATAGAACTTAGTGAGGGAAAATTCCCCCAGAGTTATTACCTTCCTTTTTACTTTATTTTTTAATGTTTCTTTGATGGTTATTAGAAAGATGGGGTTGTGTACTATGAGTTTTAGAGCTTCCCTAAATCATTTGTGTAAATCAAATAATTTAAACCAGTAATTTCCATTATTTTTTATGTTTTGGTTCCCATTTTAACATGCCTTTCCCCTGCTTTCTATTTCTAAATAATATTCTCTATTTCCTATTAAATAGAATAATAAAAGTTTGTGTAACTCTTGATTTTGAAAATGCATAAAATACTGAAATTTTCATTAGTGTGTCTTAGACGTGGTGTTTAGAAGCTAAGCTCATGGATATCAATAGTGTGTCCTTGCATTCTTATTTAATCATCATGTACCTTTTAATTCTCACAGGTGCCTGGAGCTAGAAACCTTGCAGACAACTCACAGGGTCTTAGAAGAAAAACCCACATGAGCATAATTGAGTGAAATAGTTTAAATGAGGAAGTTCCCTAGAGTAGGACAAGAAAGCTCTGTCCGTTCTAGAAAGTGTGTGTGGGTTCCAAGTAAACTAGAGTGAATAGAACGGACACAACGAAAGGTTTGCAAACCCGCCTTTGCCGGCCCCTCATCTCTTAGGATCCAGAATTCAACAATACAGATCAGATCGATCTGTATGATGACGTGCTGACAGCCACCTCACAGCCCTCAGATGACAGAAGCAGCAGCACCGAGCCACCTCCTCCTGTTCGCCAGGAGCCGTCTCCCAAGCCCAATAACAAGACCCCTGCGATTCTGTACACCTACAGCGGCCTGCGCAACAGGCGGGCTGCTGTGTATGTGGGCAGCTTCTCCTGGGTGAGCTGGGGCACCTAAAAGGCCGGGGGCGGGCCGGAGGGAGAGCGCTGGGAGGTGATGGCATTTTCAAAGACCGATGTTGCACTGCTTTGTGCTCTGATGGGGTTGGATTTCTTTTTCCTGGGATCAGGTTGGATTGATCTCTGAAAGAGAACTATCCTGAGGACGTTCTGATGCCGAAGAACGCAATGATTAAGTGGGTAGTTGCTTTTTCTGTCATCTTGTTACCACCCCTGACCCTGGGGCTTTATGTCTAGCAGGGTCATCTGTGGGATGAGATTTCAGAGTGAATACCTTGAACTCTTGGTGGTCATTAGATGGTCCTGTGATAATGATGGGTGACAGGGATCAAAGGCCTTGATAAATCTAATATGCTCGGGGTAGGTGGTGATTGTTACTCTGCAAGTTACTGTGTGACATGTTTTTGGGCTGGTGGGGGGGGGTGGGGCTGTTTCCAAATTAGGAAATGTATATGCTGGGGGGAAGTTCCTGACCACGGTCAACTCTGCATATCAGATCTGCAATTAAAAGCTGCTAGTATCAGCGTTTGAGCTGATGGCCAGCCAGCCCAAATGGCAGTCAAAGTTAAACTAGGTCTGACTCTTACTCTCGGGAGGTGGGGACTGTGGCGGGTGGGTGTTTGGAATTCTGTATGGGGAGGACAATAAGAAAAGCCCGCACTAATTGAAGTATTGATGGGCTTTGGGGTTTCCTGTGGGAGGTCCTGGCTGTGAATAGGATCCTAGGTTTGGGGAAAGGGTTGGGGACATTCTGGGTTGGGGGTGGGGGGCAGTGTAGCTCCTGACATTTCTTCCTTTTCCATTTTGCCGGCCCCAGTGGACCACAGACCAGCAGCTGATCCAGGTTATTCGCTCTATCGGAGTCTATGACGTGGTGGAGTTGAAATTTGCAGAGAATCGAGCAAATGGCCAGTCCAAAGGGTGAGGTCTGGGTTTGAGAAGCCCGTTCTAGTTTGTAACCATTGGAATAACAGGTCTGCACTGTATCTTGGCCCTGGATTTTAACCCCTCCCACCCCTGGCCCAGTTCACTGCCTTGGTTTTGGCAAATTGCCTTGGAATGGGGACCTGGCTGCAATGTGGGAGAACATCTATCCATTGAGGGGCAAAGAAAGCTGACTTCTAATTTCAAATAAGTAGGAAGATTATAGACTGACACCGTTTTGTTGTTGGTAGTTGTGTGTGTGTGTGTCCAGTAATAGCAAGATACCTTTTGCTTTGCCAGTTTTCACTAAAAGTGGAAGAAAATTTCTTTGTTCTTCTGTTGTCTAGTAGCTCTCACTCATTTGTAATGTTTCTTCCTCAAGGTATGCTGAGGTAGTGGTAGCCTCTGAAAACTCTGTCCACAAGCTGTTAGAGCTCCTGCCGGGAAAAGTTCTTAACGGAGAAAAAGTCGACGTGAGGCCAGCCACCAGGCAGAACCTGTCACAGTTTGAGGCACAGGCTCGGAAACGTGAGTGCGTCCGAGTCCCAAGAGGGGGTACGTGGAGACCATCTGTACGAATGGGGGAGGCTGTGGACTTGTTTTCTGTGGTGTAGGCTCAGCCTACAGTGTGAAGGAATTTGGGGGAGGGGAGGGGGTGGTTGTGGGTGGCAGCGTGGGTAATAGGTCGGCCCAAAATGAGGCCTGTGGTGATACTTTGGTTTTGCTACTAAGTCATGTGACTGGGCTTATTTCCCCATCTGAACTAGATACATGATGTTTAAAGTTCCTGTCAACTCTAAATTGTGTGTTTCTGTCTAAACAATTCAGTGTATAGTGAGTGAATGGGCTTTATTTTAAGACATGCCTCTCTATAAATTATTAAGAAGGAGCCACCCTAATATGGAAGTAAGGTATGTAAAGATGGCTGTAATCTATATATATAAAAGCCTAAGCGACCAGCCAACTGTCCGACCAGTAGCTGTGATGCGCACTGACCACCAGGGCAGATGCTCAGCACAAGAGCTGTCGAGCTGCGGTGACTTGGCAGCTGTGGTTCTCAGGTGACTCACCCAGAACCAGAGAGGAGGGAGCCTGATTCTGGGGTGCGTCACCCGAGAACTGCCCTCTCGCAATCCGGGACCCTTCAGGGGATGTTAGAGAGCCGGTTTCGGCCCCATCCCTGCAGGCCAGGCCGAGGGACCCCACCGGTGCATGAATCCATGCACCTGGCCTCTAGCCCATTGGCTCCCCACCGGGCCTCTAGCCCTTTGCAGAGGCCGTGGGTCTGGCCCTTACAGAAACTTTTCGACTCAATTAGCTAAATGATGAGACGTGCAGGACCTACCGACTGCAGCCCCGATGTCTGGCGCCCACCCCGGCCCATCCACTTAATACCGATTTCCAGTGGAGGCGGCGAATTTTCCCGCTACCACTCTCGGCTGGGGAACTGGCCTGGCTTCCCTCCTTCCGGGTGGACAGTAGCACCAGGGGCAACCTCCCGGGAGGGAAGGCAGCAAGGGTGCCGCTCAGGTGGGAAGAAAGAGGTTCCTGCCGCCGCTGGAAGGGCCTGGGCGGGAGCCCTAGGCCAACTAGATTCCAGGCTAAGTAAATCCTATTTGCTAAATAATTGCATTTTGCAGCTAAATGCCCACAAGGCATCAGTTAATATCAAACTTAGGGTAAAGTGAGATGAAAGAAGCAAGACAGATACAGAGAGAGAGAATGACGTAATATTGGGAGAAAAGAGGAGGGAGCCTGATTCTGGGTGCCTCACCTGAAAACCCCCTCTCACAATCCGGGACCCTCGGGGGATGTCGGAGAGCTGGTTTCAGCCTGATCCTCGCAGGCCAGGCTGAGGGACCCCACCAGTGCACGAATCTGTACACCGGGCCTCTAATGTCATAAACCAAGATTGGAAGGATGCTCTGTAAGGAATTGACCTAAAGATGTGCTAGAGCCCATCTGTAGTAAAAGGCAGTTTGGCTCTGTGGATAGAGCGTCGGCCTGCGGAATGAAGGGTCCCGGGTTCGATTCTGGTTGGGGGCACATGCCCAGGTTGTGGGCTCGATCCCCGGAAGGGGGCATGAGGGAGGCAGCCTATCCATGATTCTCTCTCATCATTGAAGTTTCTATCTCTCCCTCTGCCTTCCTCTCTGAAATCAATAAAATATATTTTAAAAAAAGATGTGCTGGAGAATGTGAATTTAACAGTGTTTCTCCAGCATTTTCCAGGGGTGCCCTTTCAATTGCCGGATATTAGTCTGCTTGGCAAGTATTTCTTATTAGAAAAGAAGGTTGCATCATAATACCTTAGCGCCACGCTAGCATCTCTTAAGTGCATCTCACTCCTTTTATTCGACTACTCACCAAGCCACCTTCTGATACTGATTTGGTTTCCAGCTAGGCTCTCCCTGGGAAGAATGCACTGACCAGCTGCTGCAAGTATTTCGGTCCGCTTGGCAGTTCTATTTCTCACTGTAAATTAATAAATTGGCCTTCTGGTTTATGAATCGGTCTCTGGTGAGTTTGGTTCGTATGAGTCAGCCTCCTAGGGCTCGATCACCCCAGGTGATCTGTTAAAATGGAGTTTCTGGGCCTGGGACACCTGAGGACCAGAGCTGGGATTGGCCTGACCTCACAAGGCGCAGCCCCTGCAAGGCCCTGCCTGGGACGCCACCTGCCTTGACTTTCCTTGCGCTGCAGTGGGGGGCTTTGGGGTGGGGCAGATCCTCTCAGATAGTGCCTGGCATTGATTGGGGGTCCACTGGGACCAGGTATTGATTGATGGAAGGTGGAACCCTGGCCACCTCTCTCTTACATAGGAACAGCTGTTCTTTTACTAGATTGAGAGCTTAGCTGGATGTGGTCTGAGCTTCCATTGCTCTGCTGTAGAAGGCACACACTCTTCTTCCTGGGCAACTTGTATTTTCAAGTCCATTCTGTTTTGGTCTTCCTATAAAACAACCTTCAGACTTTTCTAAGGTGCATAATTGTACAGCTGCGTCAGGGGTCACATTCCTACCTTCACGTGGCTGTTTATTCCTTGGTGTTACCTTTCTTTGCTGAAATGTTGATGGTGACTGAGTGGTGTTTTTCTGTGTCGTGGACTTGGCCTCTGTTAATTCGCTGAGTACAGTTGGTGGACTTCCTTTGCTTAAAAATGGTTGTTACTCTTGGGATTTGTAGCCAAAGATACAAAACAACCTTGTAGATGAGGGGACAGGAGACGGGAAGATGGCTGTCAGAGCTCACACTCACTGAGACTTGTTCTTCCTTCAATGCGGGAGAGCGTGGGAATAGCAAGGTGTCCTGTGTTGGAGACATAGGAAGGCGGTGCAGTGATGGCGCTGGTGAGCGGCTGCAGGAGAGAAGCCGCAGTGGTGCAGGGTGGTGGACTCCCCCTGCTGCTTTAGCCGGAGCAGGGTTCCTAACAGGTTCTAGCTTAAGGAGCACTCTTCTTTCCACACGTGTCTGCTGCCCGCATCTTTCTACCTCGGAGACTCCCATCCATGCGATCACGTTCTTCTGTGGGATTCCACGTTGGCCACCCTTTCCGTGGACACTAGGCTGGGGTGAGGGGACAGATGGAACCGAGTGACTTGAAAGTGCCAGAGCCGTGCTTTCAGCTGCATGCGAACATGCTCTGAGCCCTGTGCACAGCACCACACGGCGTGCTCTGACGGTGTTCCTGGCGTGCTGCCCTGTGGGGCAGAACATGGGGCCATTGGAATGGAGCGGAGTCCCCGCATTTGAGGCATGTTTTATTCCACGCTTCTGCCAGGAGTCTGTTCTCAGTTGTGTGCCATCTGCTCATTCTCTGGGTCGAGCTTTTCTTGGCTCATCTCCCGTTTCCTCTTTGCCTCCCGGTCTCCAGTCTTCTCTTCGTTGTGCGTCTCTTTTTCATCCCAGTGACCACTTTCGGTATCTGGATGAAGTGTCATCCGTCCCCGCCCTTCCTTCTCTCTCCCCACATTCCCTGGTTAAAGCGCCTTGGCAAGGAGGGCATTCCAAGTGTGCAGCCGGATAGAGAAGGTTGACTAGGACCAGTCCAGGGAGAGGGGCGCTGAATTCTTATCAGGGGACATGGAATTTCAAATCCGATTGAATCCTGCTGAACAGTAATGAACAAACTTCAACACTGTCATTTTCTCACGGGTTAATAGGCTCCTTCTGCACTTAAAAATATAAGACAAAGCTAAGGATAAGTAACGTGAAGCACTGATGGTTCTAGAGAAAGAATATTTTTGACATACAGAATTTAAGGTGGTATTGCCCTCTGGGTTTATAATTAAGTTGTCTCAGGTTTTTCTCTGATGCCAAAGAAAAGGCAGTCGATGATGCTACCTTCTTTTTCAGCCACCTGCTGCCTTCCTCAGTAGGTGTCCGATGACTTGCTGAAGGACGAACTGGTCCTGTGGGTGTGTCTCAAGCCGGGGCAGTAACAGTAGTTGTTTTGCTTCATAGGAATACCTCCACGGGCTCACTCCCGAGATTCGAGTGATTCTGCTGATGGACGGGCCACGCCCTCTGAGAACCTTGTACCCTCATCTGCCCGTGTGGATAAGCCCCCCAGTGTGCTGCCCTACTTCAACCGCCCTCCGTCAGCCCTCCCCCTGATGGGTCTGCCCCCACCTCCAATTCCACCCCCACCACCTCTCTCCTCAAGCTTCGGGGTCCCTCCTCCTCCTCCTGGCATCCACTACCAGCATCTCATGCCCCCTCCTCCTCGATTACCTCCTCATCTGGCTGTACCTCCCCCTGGGGCCATCCCACCTGCCCTTCACCTCAACCCAGCCTTCTTCCCCCCACCAAATGCTACAGTGGGGCCTCCACCAGATACATACATGAAGGCCTCGGCCCCCTATAACCACCACGGCAGGTAAGAACTACCTTGTTCCTTTCACAGCTGAGCCAGGTGTAATAGGGTGGACAGTGAGGTATTTTCCCTCCGAGGAGGAAGTGAGCACTGAATTCTGTGCTTGTGGGAAACTGTAGTCATAGTGTTGAGTCCTGGGAAATTCTTATCTATTAGATAATTTTTTTATTTGATGCTTTGTTTGCATCTTACTTCTTGACCCAAACCATGTCCTTTGTATCCCTTTTTAAGGGGCTTAATTAAAAAGAGTAACGTAGGTGGCTGGTAGGCTGTGACTGTCTGGCACTGTTGTTGGGTCATGGCAAACTTATCAAAGTCTAGGACATAAATCCTGTCTTTGAGGAGAACATGGACACACAAACACGTGACCAGGCAGAGACCATGTAAGAAATGACACAGGAGAGCATCGTTCAGAGCATGGTATTACAGAGGGCGGTAAAGACGATCCGGGGTGTGGCAGTCAGGCTGGTCTTGCTTCTGTGCAGCCGGGACTCGGGCCCTCCGCCCTCTACAGTGAGTGAAGCAGAATTTGAAGAGATCATGAAGCGAAACAGAGCAATTTCCAGCAGTGCCATTTCCAAAGCAGTAGCTGGAGCCAGTGCAGGTAACGAACTCTCCCCTTTGCTGCCTTCTCCTTGCCTTCCGTTTGCCCATGTCTCCAGGCCTAGTCATTTCCATTGGCAAGAAATTCAACCAGATAAAGTTGGAGCACCATTAGGTTCTCAACCATTAGGTTCTCGGGAGGCATGGCTGGCCCGGCCGGTGTGGCTGAGTGGTCGAGCATCGACCCAGGAGCCATGTCAGTATTGGGTGGGCATCGCCAGAAGCCGTGACTCCTGAGAAGCTTTGGTTTCTAAAAGGAGATGACACAGGAAGTTTCAAGGTTCTAGTCCAAGTTTCACTTTATGACATTAGCCATATTCACGTGAACGTAAATGTAGACTATCCAATTTCCAAGTTAACCCTAAGTATTACCTATTTTCCATCATTTCTCAGCTTTGGCTGCAAAATTTAAATCCACAGAGTCGGTTAAAGACAGGAAGTGTACATATTCTCTCTTTATTTTTCCCTCCAGAAAATCTTCATTGGCATCGGAATAAATCTTCTTAAATTAAAAGTAATCTGCTCAGTGCAACAAGTCAGATATACACAGGACTGTAATGAAATAATCATTGTTCTCCACCAGCTCCTTCATACCAAGATGATCAAAAACCAGATCTCCGTCTCCCTCTATTTCTGTTGTTCTCATTCCAGTCATTCAAACCACAACTATTTATTGGAAGCCTGTAAAATGGGCAGAAACGTCCTTCCCTGATGGAGCTGACCTCCTGGTGCCTGGACTCCTCCAGCTTTTGTTTTATTCTTACTGCCTGTGCAGAGGAGCTGCCAGTCCTCATTATCCTTGGACCTTGTCTGGTCTCCTGCGTTCCTTGCATTACCTTCTGTCCTTACTGCTCCTAACGTAGCTCAAAAAAGCTTTGTGGCCCTAGCTGGTTTGGCTCAGTGGATAGAGCATTGGCCTGCAGACTGAAAGGTCCCAGGTTCGATTCCGGTCAAGGGCACATGCCCAGGGTGCAGGCTTGATCCCCAGTAGGGAACGTGCAGGAGGCAGCCAATCAATGATTCTCTCTCATCATTGATGTTTCTCTCTCTCTCTCTCTCTCTCTCTCTCGCTCTCTCGCTCTCTCCCTTCCTCTCTGAAATCAATTTAAAAAATATTTTTAAAAAATAATTAAAAAAAAAAAATTTGTGCAAGTCCCCACCCTGTGACCACTTTCCCTGCCAGGCATTGCTCAGATTTGGGGAATGAAGGGACTAATTCTCGATGGTAGCATAATTTAAATAAACAAAGAGATAAAAATTTAAAATATGCATGTGTGTATGTATGCATGTATGTATGCTATATACGTTTTAGATATACATTACATGTATATATACATACGTCTGATGATAAATTTAAGACAATTTAGTCAATATGCAGTGTTAATAAAGTCCTCTGCACGGGCCCTCTTACAAGACTGCCTTTTATAGTTTGTGTCTATCCTCCATATGTGGTTTTGTGCATGTAACAACATATATGTAATTTTATTTTTACAAAAATGAAATACTGTCTTGTAACTTCAAATTAATATATTCTGCACGTCTGTTACATCATGTGAAATAATGACATTTACTAAGCCCTTACCTTGTGCCTGGCACTGTGCTAAGCGCTTTACATTGCTTCCTTTGTTTACATACAAGTTGACCTCAGGCTTTTTAACGACCACGTAGTATTCTGTGGAACCAGTGATGGGTAATTATGTAGCTAGACCCTGTTGAAGGAACTTCAGGTTGTTTCTAATTCTTTAACACAGCAGACAACACTGAAACAACCGTGATTAAACTTACCCACAGTTGTGAATAGAAGTAGAAAATTTTTAGAATTCCTGGGTCAAAGGTATGCACATTGTTTATTTCAATGGATGTTGTCAAACAGCCCTCAGACAGTGATGCGCCAGTTTATACACCCACTAGCGGTCTCTGAGAACGTCTGTGATTGCAGACATTGGAACATAGGTGCCATCTAGTTTACACCTCCACTCCCGCCTCTTCTGTTCACTGGCTCTTGTTTGGGTCCTGCGGTCTCCTTTTGTCTAGTTTACTGCCTCTACTCACCCTTGGCCTTTCCCATCCATCCCGTCAGGCATCCATCCCGTCAGGGGATTACAGTGACGCGATCGAGACGCTGCTCACAGCCATAGCTGTCATCAAACAGTCCCGGGTCGCCAATGACGAGCGTTGCCGTGTCCTCATCTCCTCCCTTAAGGACTGTCTCCATGGCATTGAGGCCAAGTCCTACAGTGTGGGTGCCAGCGGGAGCTCGTCCAGGTGAGCTGATGGCTGCTCCAGCGGCGGCCAGCCCCGAGCGGCACTCTTCAGGGATTGGCAGGGGGAGGGAAGGAGCCGGGGGGTCTGGCAAGGCCCTGGCTGAAGGAGCGGACCAAGCCCTCATATTTTCAAGGGGAACAAATTACCCTCACATTTGCAGTAATAAATGTTAGAATGTTAGCGGAGGCAGTGGGTTTATTTCGGGGAAAAGATAGACTGGTATAGCCAAGAACATGGGCGTTGGAGCCACCCATGCTTGGATTTGAATCCCAGTTCTGCGCCTAACTCTGTGTGTGACCTTGAGAATGGAATTACTCAACTTTCCAAGTCTCATTTTTCTCAAAAAAGGGGGCGGGGGCAATAGTAGTACTAATCTTACAGACTGTAAAGATCAGGTGAGACGATGCATGTACAGCTCTGAGCACTGTGCCTGATACATTAGTAATTCTCAGCAAATTTAACTGCTGTTATTTTCCCAAAGATGACTAGTCCTCAGGGGACCAGCACCGTCAGACAGTGGGTCCATGCTAGAGCAGAGGACAGGGGTAGCTGAGGCTAGCAGACACCAGAGCACAGCACTAGGGAAGCAGTGTGGTAGGCCCTCTGAGCGCGGCTCAAGGATCTTTCTAACAGGAAAAGACATCGGTCCCGAGAGAGGTCACCGAGCCGGTCCCGGGAGAGCAGCAGGAGGCACCGGGACCTGCTTCACAGTGAAGATCGGCATGACGACTATTTCCAAGAAAGGAACCGGGAGCACGAGAGGCACCGGGACAGAGAACGGGACCGGCACCACTGAGAGAGGTGGGAGCAGCCCACTGCTGCCTGGTGGGCGGTCTTGTATGAGAGAAAATCACTGACCGAAGGTTTTTCTCTTTTTATGCGTTATTTTTATATTTATTGATTTGAGAGAGAGGAAGGGGGAGAGAGAAACATCGTGTGTTGTTCCACTTACACATTCATTGATTGTTTCTTATATGTGCCCTGACCAGGGCTTGAACCCAACGTTGTGGCCTATGGGGATGGTGCTCTACTACCAGCCAGGGCTCTTTTAGAGCAAATAAAGGAAGTGGGCGGCTTTCGGTTTAGTAACTGAAAATCCAGGAGGGCAGATTTCCCGCTTGTTAGGAGTCTCACACTGCGATGGGCCTGAGATGAAGATATTTTTTGTTTGTTTCTTGGCTGCCTTGCCTGGTATCTGACGCAGCAGGCATAGTGGCTAAGTAAGAGCAGTGTCTGCGGGCAGTGCAGAGTGTGAATCCCACGCCTCCGGCCGTATTGCTTTGTTCCACCATTTCTCGCTTTTTGAATGAAGGTAAGAAAAACAGTTGTCTCATTAGATTGCCGAGTATTCAGTGAGGTGATCCATAGGCATTTAGCACTCAGATACCTGTTACATAGTAAGCTCTCAATAAATGATAGCCATGTCATCAGCGTTGCTATGTATCAACCCCACCAAACTTTCAGGTAAAAAATTGGGGAAGTTGACCAATACAGAAAAGTGAAATCATTGCCTACTTATTTGTTTACACGGTGCAACATTAATGATTTTAAAAATTAATGTCTACTAAAAAGATTTTGAAAATCAAGATACTTTTTTCAAAGAGAAGAAAGCTGACCTGGAAGAAATTTTAATAGCTTTGGAGACTCTGTGGAGGATACTTCAATGGAAGGATATATTTGTTTAGGGAAAAAATGTGTTTTTTTCTTTTTTTAAAGCAAAACAAAAGCAGGAGAGTTGGGGTGGGGGAACCACATGAACTCAGGTAATTGAAAAGTTGAGTTCGGCTTGGCTGGATCCAGAGCGAGGCCTGTGGCCCGATGGCTGCGAGTTTGACACGCTTGGTCTAAAGGCGAGGGTGGGGAGCATCCAGCCTGTAGGCCACACAGACCTGCAAAATCATTTGGTCTGGCCCTGCCACAGCATTAGGGAGAGTTAATTACATCACCACATATAGCAGGCTAATGTTTAAAAACGTATTTTTACTGATTTCAGAGCAGGAAGGAGAGGGAGAGAGAGAGAGAGAAACATCAGTGATGAGAGAGAATCCTTGATCGGCTGCCTCCTGCACACCCCACACTGAGGATCGAGCCTGCAACCTGGGCATGTGCCCTTGACCAGAATCAAACCTGGGACCCTTCAGTCTGCAGGCTGATGTGCTATCCACTGAGCCAAACCGGCTAAGGCTGAACCTGAGACTTTAACTGTCATTTTGCTTCATTTCTTCCAGCTATAAAATAGGACTGTTTTTCCCCAGTACGCAGATGATTCCATTGGATAACTGAAAAATCCTGTGACCCACTGGGTCCCAGAAAGCAGGCATTGGGCTGGTGCAGGCCTGTTGGACAAGATGAGGAAAGTGAACTCTGAGGAGGTTTCCAATCCCCCAATTTCTCTTACGTTGGTTACTCCATCCAACCAATAATTTAATCCAAGAGAACTGAATCAGACACCCTAACAATGTCAGTTTCTCATTCTCATCCTAATGCAGTGGTTCTCAACCTTCTGGCTCTTTAAAAACAGTTCCTCATGTTGTGACCCAACCATAAAATTATTTTCGTTGCTACTTCATAACTGTCATGTTGCTACTGTTATGAATCGTCATGTAAATATCTGATATGCAGGATGGTCTTAGGCGACCCCTGTGAAAGGGTCGTTTGACTGCCAAAGGGGTCGCGACCCACAGGTTGAGAACCGCTGTCCTATTGGCTCGTAATTCCCTCTGCAGTTACCAAGTTGTGACTTAGGAGATTTCATGTTGGGGAGATGGTGCGTGGGCCTCGTTTATCTCAAGAACTTTGCAAACTCTATGTACATAGTTTTTAGTTAGAAAATAATAGTGCCCGGCCAGTGTGGTTCAGTGGTTGAGCGATGACCCATGAACCAGGAGGTTAGGGTTCAATTCCTGGTTAGGGTACATTTTCAGATTGTGGGTTCGAATCCCCAGTAGGGGTCATGCAGGAGACAGCCAATCAATGATTCTCATCAAAGTTTCTATTCCTCTCCCCCTCTCCCTTCCCCTCTCTGAAGTCAATTTTTAAAAAAGTGCCTACTTTATCAATGGTAGCTATTCTTTTTTTAAAGGAAATAATAGTATTTATATTGTGCAAACGGGTGTTCTCTGAGCAGAAAGTGTGTTAACATCGAGCATTGGCAGTAGATCGGCAACCCTCTTCCTCAGAACAGGCCCCGCCTCTGGGCCTGGAGTCTGATTGCCCCACTGCAGGACTCTGGCTCTGTCTGCATTCAGACATTATCACCACAGTGTGGCCGTGCTCTCTAAGACCTGGGCGCTGTGGGTTATTTCAGCTGATGCATTAGTTATCCTCTGCGTCTTGTTCTGTAGGGACAGTTACCAAAGTACATTTCTTTCAGGGTGTATGTGTGTATGGTTTGGAATTTGAGGATATTCTTCTGTCAGTGGTTTTTACATTTTGTGGTTCTCAGCTCTTGCCTCATTATTTTAGAACCTTCTCCTATTTGATGTTAATCATTCTCACCTCATTGCTATCCTCCTGGTTCAATGGAAACTGAGCTTTCTGTTCAATTTTGATCCAGTGCAAATATTCAGAAGCCCAAATGGTGTGACATTGAGAAAGCATTGAAGGCTTCAGTTTTCCCCACAGAAAATGGGACAAAACCTGCCTGCGTAGGTGTTTGAAGAAGCAAGAGGAGAGAGGCCACACCTGATTCTGGGGCTGAAACAGTGCTGTTTCAGAGTAGAAGGATCACACAGCTTGTGGGTGTCTTGTTTCTATGTAGCTCCTTCAGCCTACACAAGTGCATACATAAAGGGTGAGCATTTGTGTATTAATGAAATTCTAAGCCTGACTTTAATCCCCCCTTTTTCATTTAGCTATTGTTTCTATATTATACTAGAGGCCCGGTGCACGGAATTCGTGCACTTGAGAGAAGGTGGTCCCCTCAGCCCGGCCTGCGCCCTCTAGCAGTCCAGGAGCCCTTGGGGGATGTCCAACTGATGGCTTAGGCCTGCTTCCCTTGGGTCTAAGACAAGCAGTTGGACATCCTTAGTGCTGCTGCAGAGGCAGGAGAGGCTCCCGCCACCACCGCTGCACTCGCCAGCCGTGAGCCCGGCTTCTGGCTGAGCAGCACTCCCCCTGCATTGAGCATCTGCACCCTGGTGGTCATTGCACATCACAGCGACAGGTGGTTCCGCTGTCCGGTCAATTAGCATATTAGCCTTTTATTGTATAGGATGATCAGGTTCACCAAGCTCCCCCTGCAATTAGCATTGTGCCATGAGAACAAGGGCTGAGCGGAGGAGGGGCCTTCAGTCAGGTGGAGATGTGACAAATGGCTGAAGAGTGTCTTACTGGGCTCTTACGCTTCTTGGACGGTGACTGCTGGTTATTGCCTTAACTTCTGTGCTCTTTGTGGCCTGGCCTGGCCAGGTCATTGCAGCTGGGGGTTACTGTGCTGCTTGGCCCCTCGCCCACAGCTGTCATCTGGGGAAAGACCTAAACATTTCTTGAGTTTCAGTACAACTTACACCACCTCTGGCTGTGTGTGTGTGAGAATGTGTGTGTGTGTGTGAATGCGTGTGTGTGTGAATGCGTGTGTGTGAGAATGTGTGTGTGTGTGTGTGTGTGTGTGTGTGTGAATGAGTGTGTGTGAGAATGTGTGTGTGTGAATGCGTGTGTGTGAGAATACATGTGTGTGAATGCGTGTGTGTGAATGCGTGTGTGTGAATGCGTGTGTGTGTGAATGCGTGCGCACACACATACTCATAGAATGCTGATTGAACCAGGGCTCAAGAGAAGAAAAGCTTTGAGTTTCCTGTGTGAGTACATGCTCCCTGTCAGGCCTCTTAGGAGCTCGGAGGTAGTGGGTTTGGTTGTGCACACGGGTGGTGTCACCATGTGCCTCCCAGTTCCATCCCCTCCCCTTAAGGTAAGCTGTGACTTGCTCAGAAGAGATTTCCTGAAACAGAATTTAAATTCACCATAATTCACCATGTTCCCTTGTAACAACTTTGCTTGAAATGTTGTAATTTCCATATTTTTCCAGCCCAAGTCTCTTTTTGAGACTTCATTTCATTGTCTTTGCCCCCCACCTTAAAGTAAGATGTCACTACTAGCTTGTCCTCCAACCAGTCCCTCACTATTCACAGTGCCAGACACCCCAGACAGTCCTTTCTTTCGCTTTCCCGGGCTGCATTCTCTCTCTGTCTGCATCCCCTGCTTCATACGCTGTAACTTTAGAAAACGCCCTGGGAAGTCATTGAAGCCCCCGTTCATCTGAAAGTCACTCTGATTGGTGTTCTCTTCTGATGTTCTTGTTGCAGGAGTCGGTCGGAAGCAAATGTTTTTTAATGGACTTGCATCTCCTCACCTCGATCAGGACTAAAGGACGGAGGCCGCTCCACCCCTTCCCTTCCCTCCACGCCCCTCCCCTCCAGACACCCAGGGAATGCCCTCTGCCCACAGGATTGAAGACTGCGGCCCTCCCAGTCCCACACCTCCTGTTTGCTGGGGAAAGAGCCTAAAGACTGTGTGCTTGGGAGGGGAGGCAGGCAGGAAGAAGGCAGGTCCAGGCCCTGGTCTCCGTAGAGAATGGTGCTTTGTTCAAGGAAACGTGAGTTTCTGATTCTCCAGGAGCAGTTGAGTGGTGAGGTCCATGGGAAGGCTTCCTTCTCAAAGACAAGGAGTCCTTCCAGTGGGATCTAGGAGAGCAATGGGGGTGCCCAGGTCCTGCCCTCAGCACTAGGTTTGATGGGGCCAAGAGGGTCCAGACCCCTTGCTAACACCACTTCGTCTAACTCCTTTCCTGCCCAGCCCTTTGAGGAGGGACCATGAGAACAGAAATTCATGAACAGCTTCTCTTACTCTCGCTTTTCCTTCTTACGATTGACGGTTTGTTTCCCCGGCCTCCCAGAGGCGGACGCCTTCCTGCTCCTGCTGCTCAGCTCCTCCGAGGACTTGCCCTCGGGTGTGGAGCAGGCCCAGGAGGTGCTGCCCGCTGAGAGCCCTGAGGAGCCAGTGCCCGCCCTCTGCCTCCCGCTCTGCTTAGGGCTTGGTTGCCTCTTGCAATAACCAGCTCTACCAGGTGTTCTGTTTCCCCGGCTTCACCATTTCACGGGAGCCCTTCCCCCCGAGGGCTGCTTCCTTGTTTTAGAGGAAGGTATTGCCGCTGGGAGGTGGGGGCGGCGGACCTCAGCAGCGCAGAGCCCTGGTGCAGTGCCAGGATGGGGAAGGCCCGCAGGCAGGGCCCGGCCTGCTTCCATACGCCTTGCTTCTGTGTTCAGGTTTGATGTAACCATGGGCTTGCACCCCCAGGTACCAGTTTCACTTATTGGGGGGTAACCTGACACTAGCAGACAGGGAAAGTCACAGGGGGGGTGTCTTCCCACCTTTTGATTATTGACCTCCTATCTCCCCGTGCTCTGCCTGGAGGTACTTCCTGCCTCTGATGAGCAGGGAAGAAGTGGAGCCCGACTTGAATGAGCTCCGTGTTCTAAGGACCACCCTCGGGGCCATTTTCCACACCGGCATGGAATTGGCGTATGGAATTGCTTTTCCCATAACATGTACATGTGATGTTCTGATTGCTGAGGGAGGCAGCAGCCACAGGGCCCTGCAGTGCCAGGGGGCGATGGGTGCTGTTTGCGCATCTAGAGGGCACGCGGCATCTAACGAGACACGGCATGTGACATAGACTTGGCATGTGAGGTGTGGGGTCATTGGAGACCCTGGTGGCTCAGGGAGAGACTGAGTTGGACTGAACCCTCCTCTCCCCTGCACGTTTCTGACCCAGCCCTGCGGTCCCTGAGGGCGGGCGTCCCCCGGGGCTGGAGAGGCACATTCCCTTGGGACAGGCTACAGGTTGTAGCTCCTTTCCCCTGTCCCAGGTCCCATCCCCACCGCCACCGCCACCTCAGAACATGGCGCCCTGCCTGCTGTCGGAGTGCGAGGTACTGGGCGTGTCCTCGAGAGCAGCTCCTGTGTCTACAGCGTAGAGACCCAGTAAGGGGACGGTGAGGAACGTACAGAGTGCAGGAAAGCCGTTTACCCGGGAGCTTTTTCTCCCCATTTTTGTTTTGTTTTTATTCAATGACACCATTTTTAGTTTTGTTTCCTGATAGCAAAAGGAAAAAAACCCAATCCTCAAAAAGGCCAAGGCCCCGTCCCCCTGTTGTCGGTGATCTGTTTGTCTTTCTGATAGGTTGAAAATTGTGTAATAAACTTGATGACGCTGTCAATCTTTTATACTGCATTGTATTTTTTTCCTTTTGTAACAAAGTATTTTTAAACAATAAATGGGGTGTGAGCTATTTTATGGATCTGCATTGAATAGATTTGTTGAGGTGTCGGGCATGGGCATGGGCTGATGTAGTCGCATGCAGGGCGTGTAGTGGCCTGTGGTGCACCTAGGAGGCCTCCAGTGCAGACCTTTTTCCTGAGCCACCTGAACAGTCTGTTAAAGACAAGTCCAGGTCATCCTTTACCAAGATTCCTAAGATTTACTCCCAGAAGAAATGTCCTCCCTTGGACAGTTGTCCTGATGTCAAGTTCAGGAAGGGAAGTGTCCCCAGGAGTGGGAGGGTGATGGCTAGGGCCTCCTTCCACCCACTGATCTGACCATGGACAGTCGAGATGAAAGCCAGAGCAGCCCTGCCTTCCACACAGGGAGGTTTTGAGAACCAGAGAGAAATGTGAATGGACATGGGTCGTGAGCTGAACTATGAAGTACAGGTTAGGAAGCGGAAGTGTGATCTTAGGGTTCCAGACAACTGGGCTTTTAAAAAAGCCAGGTGAACAGCGGAGAGTTGTATGACCAAGATGAACCAGTATAATGTGCACTGGGACCAGTAAAAGCGAAATGTGTAAAAATAATTTTTTTAGAGATGTTTTTAAAAATATATTTTTATTTCAGAGAGGGAGGGAGAGATAGGAACATCAATGATGAGAATCACTGATCAGCTGCCTCCTGCACGCCCCACATGGGATTGAGCCCTCAACCCAGGCATGTGCCCTGACCAGAAATTGAACCGTGACCTGGTTCATAGGTTGACGCTCAACCACTGAGCCACCACAGCTGGGCAAAACAAGGAATCTTTACGCAGAAGGGAAATTTGCTAGCGGGTCTGAAACTTGGGAAGAAAGTAGTTGGGGGTGCCTCGGTTCCAACCTGTCCCTGTCCCGCGCCAATCCACACCCAGTCTAGAAACCCACTTATGCCCAGGTGGTGTGTATAGAAACTCCAGTGTGATGCCTGCTGGTGGAGAGAATAGTCTTCGTGTCATCCAGGAGTGCTGTGGTGGCGTAGAGAGGGACTGTCTTACCCTGGCTGATTGGCTGAATCAGGGAGAGCCTTGTCCTGTCCACCAAAGAGGTTGTGGGTCCACTTCCCACTCAGCACATACGAGAGGAAACTGTTTTCACCTCAATGTTTCTCTCCCCCTCTCTCTAAAATCAAAAAAACATACCTTCTGGTGAGGATTTTTTAAAATGGTACTGAGCCCTAGCTGGTTTGGCTCCAGTGGATAGAGCGTCGGCCCGTGGGTCCCGGGTTCGATTCCGATCAAGGGCATATACCAGCCGTGGGCAAACTACGGCCCACGGGCCGGATCCGGCCCGTTTGAAATGAATAAAACTAAAAAAAAAAAAAAGACCGTACCCTTTTATGTAATGATGTTTACTTTGAATTTATATTAGTTCACACAAACACTCCATCCATGCTTTTGTTCCGGCCCTCCGGTCCAGTTTAAGAACCCATTGTGGCCCTCGAGTCAAAAAGTTTGCCCACCCTTGGCATATACCTTGGTTGCAGGTTCCTCCCCAGCCCAGGCCCTGGTCAGGGCGTGTGCAGGATGCAACCAATCAATGTGTTTCTCTCATCGATGTTTCTATCTTTCCCTCTTCCACTCTCTCAAAATCAATGGAAAATATCCACAGGTGAGGATTAAAAAACGGGGGACTGACCTTTGGGATACCTCTAGGTCAGTGATTCTCGACCTTGGCTGCACATGAGAATCACCTGGGAATCTTTTTAAAATCCTGATTTCTGGGCCTCATCCTCCGGAAATTCTGTTTCTTTGTTACTAATGTTGTGGCCCCACCCCATAACAAAGAAACAATTTCTGGAGGATGGGGTCCAGAAATCAGGATTTTAAAAAGATTCCCAGGTGATTCTAATGTGCAGCCAAGGTCGAGACCCACTGCTTTAGGTTCAAATTCCAACTCTTATTTAACCTCAATGCCTTGGGACACGTGTTAACACCTGACTTGATTGCCTTCGGCCTCGGGGTCGCTGCGTGGACTAAACAACCTGCCAGGCACTGGACGAACATTCGTTCCCTCAAGCTGCTGCCGTGGAGCGGGAATCTGAAGCTGTGTCCTCAGTGCTTCCTGAGTGCAGCCGGACCTCCGCCCCTAGAGACGGCCACTCGGTCATCACCTGACCGTCTAGACATGCGTGTGGGTATCCCAGCAGCCTCTGCAGCTCCTCGGTCCTCGCCACTGTCTCGGGATGCCGGCGCCACGGCAGCCAGCAGCGCAGCCTCTGAGCAGCTCACAGAAAGGCTGCCTGTCGTCTGATGCTCTGCTCGGTGTGACTGTGTCCACAGGTGGCTCCAACAAGCCTGGGGAAGAGCAAGCATCCACGGAGCCATCCACGGAACCACGGGACGCGAGGCTTCCAGGCAGCCACGAGGTGAGAGGGGCCTCCTTGTTCTAATCATGCCATTGCCAACCGGTCACGCTCACCCTCAGGTGGTACCTGCTGAGTGATGAGTCACTTAATTCAGCCTGAAACTCATGACACGGATTCTAGTTTCCAGCTGTTTGTAACCAGTTGCACGATGCTTGGCTATGTTGCTTCCTCATCTCTATGCTTGCAAAGTGGCAGATTAGGTTGAAAATTGATCTCTAAGTCCCTTTGAATTATCAGCCACCTCTAAACTTCCCCCCGAGCCTTCCATTCCTTTGTCTGTGCTGCTGGGAGGGTGACCTTCACCACGGAACCTCTACATCAGCGGTTCTCAACCTGTGGGTCACGACCCCTTTGGCGGTCAAATGACCCTTTCACAGGGGTCGCCTAAGACCATCCTGCATATCAGATATTTACATGACGATTCATAACTGTGGCAACATGACAGTTATGAAGTAGCAACGAAAATAATTTTATGGTTGGGTCACAACATGAGGAACTGTATTTAAAGGGCCTGAAGATTGAGAACCACTGCTCTACATGAACAGAGAGCTCTCCAGTTTAAAACCAGCGTTTTCTTCAAAGCAGGGCTAGAGAAAGCAGCGTGAGAAGCAACAGGACATCAGGACGTTAGTGGGGTTTGTGATTGAAGTGTCAGGAATGTCCCTACTGGATTTTCTGATCCTGTTCCAGGGCTGGTGAGACCTGCCCACTGGTGTCTGGACGGACCCCAGTGCAGTGAGGAGGCCAGGGCACAGAAGGGATAGAAAACAGGAAAAGCTTCGGTGGGTGGGACAGTGGGGACCTGCACAGGATGAGAAGGGCCTGATCACAGGAGGGAAGCAGAGGGGACCATCGTGGGTTGCTTATAGGCCTATTACGTTTACTATGAGTAAGGGCAGTTATTCTAGGGTTCGTCTCTCAAAAGGGGCCTTGACTCAAAGTAGTGGATTCTGCCATGGCTCCTGGTGGCTTCTTGGGGCTAAAAAACAAAATGGCCACTACCAAGCAGATGGGGAAGTTTTAAAGATGATTAAAGTATGTGCTCCTTTCGTGTTAATTTGAAATTTTCAAATATTGGTTTAGAATATGCTGCTTGCAATTACTCCCACCTCCCCTGCAAAGGAGCTGCGATCCGTGCGAGGATGAGAGGCAGGTGCTGGCTCGGGGCTGGGGGATGGGGGGATGAGGGGGCTTTGCCGGGTGACAGGCCTGAAGGAGACATAGAAGCCAGCAGCGCCTCTGGGTCCGCACTGGGTCCCTGAGCTCAGCCTGGGAGCAGCCACTGGGAGAGCCTGCCTTCTCCCGGAGTGGGTGAATTTCTAGGTCCCACAAGGAAAAGGCTGCACAACAGAAAATACATATTTATTATAAAATAATGTTTGCTTCATGATGGAATAGAAAAATAACACTATGAGCTACTAAAAAAGGGCTGGCGCTCAGGTTCCGCAGGATGGAGGCTGTGTCCCTTGGAGCTCCGTGCTGGTGCGGGACAGGCGGGGTACAGCACACGGGACGGAGCGGCTCAGGCCCTTCGGAAGCCAAGGAGCCCACATGGTCCACACGAGATGCTCTGGCCACGATGGTCATCGAGGAGGACTTGCGGCCATCAGGAGCCGGTCCTGAGGATGGCTGGGACGGGGACAGCGTGCCCTCCCTGTGCTGGCGTGTAGACGCGTCTCTCAGGCTGATGGTCCCGTTTAGATGGTGCCCAGTGGCCCCGCTTGGTTTGTTGCCCAAATGTCTGCGCTGAGGAAAAGCTGCGACTCTCCCTCGGACCACGTGACCCGCCATCTCTCGCTGGTGTGGCTGGAGTCCCAGAAGCGTGAGCGTCTCAGCCGCTGAGGGCTGCGGCTGGGATGTTTGGACTTCAAATCCTGTCCACACTGATGACAGAGAGAAAGACACACAAATGTTACAAGACCAGTGAGCAAGAGCAGGGGCCTGAACTGCTCCAGATGCCAAGCCTCCTGGCCCCAAAGAACCAGGAATCGTCTTGTATCTTTTCCCTAAGGGGTAACGTCTACCCTCCATGGGAAAGGCAGCCCCCTTAAAAGTCTACCAGGCCCCTCCAGCTCCAGAAACCAGTGAATCCCTCCCTAGGGAGGCAGGGGAGCCCGGCCCTCGGGGGGACTGTCCCTCACGAACCTGGAGAAGGCGGCCAGCGTGAGCGCCTCCAGCAGCAGCTCAGAGCCACAGAAGAGGAGCAAGATGCCGTTCATGATGGCTTCCAGGCGGAGCACGTAGGTCTGCAGCAGCAGGTAATACGAGGCCATCAGGGCAGATGGGAAGGTCAAGGCCACACTAATGGCGAGGGGCATCTTCCGTTGGCAGAGGTTTCCCTTCGAACCTGTCAGACACAGCCAGGGTCACCTCCAAGCCGCTTCCCCTCGCTCGGAGGAAAGGTGGGTGGGCCCGGTGGGCTGGCAAGGCAGAGGAAGCGATCCTGCGTGGGGACGTGCAGCCTTATAAAGCGGTAAAAGCAGAGGCGTGGAGGAGTTTGGAACTGGAGTCATTCACCCCAAAGGGCCTGCTTCCAGTCTGGCTCCCGTTCACGGGGCGCTGGATCTTTATTGGAGGGAAATTTCTTTTAATTATAAAAATAACATATAATCATTGAAAACTTTTCAACTAATATACAGAAAATAATTTTGGAAAATATAGAAAGACGCATGCTCGCTCCCTGGAGAGAGCTATTATTAGATGGACACTGTTTCCGATTTCTGTATGGTCTGTGCTCGCATGTTATTATGACAAAAACCATCATTCTCTAATATTGTTTTGCAACTTACTGTTCCCCATTTAATATAAGCTAGACTTCTCTCCACACATACTACCTTATTCTTTTTTTAATGGTTCTAATGGTTTCATTGAACTAATTCTGTGATTTATTGAGTTGATCCTGTGTTGCTAGATGTTTAGGTTGTCTCTAGCTTTGATGTCACACAATCTGTGGCAACAAACATTCTGACAGATCGTCTGCGTATCTGCGGAAGTGTTTTGTTTTTTCAACCAGTTTTAGAGGTGAAACTGTTAGGTCTGAGAATACAGATTTTACAAAGTAAAACTATTAGCAAGAAGGATACACTAATTTATATTCCCGGAGAGTCTGAGGACGTAGGTACCCGTGAGAGTGTGGGACTACAGGCCCCGCTCCGCATGCCTGTCCTCACACTGGGTGTGGGAACCTGTCTCACCTGATGGGTGAAAATGCTCTCGTTTCAACTTCTGTTTACTAGTGAGTGTGGCATTTTGCCATGTTTGCTGGTCTCTGTGATTGCCCTTGTGAACTGCCTATTGGTTTCCTTTTCCAATTCCTAAACTTCGGTTGCCTTTGCCCTGGTAGGTGCGGCCCAGTTGGTCAGAGCGTCGTCCCACACACCGAAAGGTGGCAGGTTCAGTTCTGGTCGGGGCGCGTGCCGGAGGCAACCAGACGCTTTCTCTCTCTCTCTCTCCCTTCCTCTCTCTAAAACCAATTTTAAAAATCAGGTTGTGTTTCCTTAGTGATTGATGTGTGCCTGAACCTTTACCCTTGGTTATATGTATTGCAAGCATTTTTTTTTCTCTTTTGAGTTATAACACGTTTTCAAAGATGAGATATTCTAACTGGTAAGAGATTTGCTCTGTATTTCTGGGGATATAAAGCTTGTCCTAAGGAAAGTCTTGTTCAGCGAAGCGGAGGGAAACTGAGTGCTGATCTGTACAGGCACACACTGTCCTGGACATGGCGTTACAGCCCAATCTGTTCTCCAGGCACCGGCAAGAGGAACCAGGCACTTTATGGTAGTTAGGCAACTGGGAGGGAATTCTCTAACATCTCCTGCGACTGCCCCCGTCTAGCCCTACAGAGCAACAGACAGGCAAGTCTTGACCCAAAACATAAAGCAGTTTGAAACTTCAGAAAGGGAGGAATGCGATATGCCGCCAGATCTGATCTCTTACTGTGAGCCAGGCTGTGTGCTTTTTCTTGTTAATCAAGTTACAGATACCAGCTCATCCCATAAGGAATAGGAACGCTCCCTGGACAGCACTCACCAAAAAACAGCCGAATCACTTCAATTCCGAGGGAGAGGATCAGCATCGCCACATCCAGCACCAGATTGGCTGTTGGATATGGTAGCAGGAGACCTGCCAATACAAAGGCCGGAGTTTGCCAACAATACGCCAGCCCCCACAGGAACTCCCACGCTTGGGATTAAAGAGGACAAGAGTCTTATCAGCTTTCCATGAGCTGGTCAGGGAGATGTGGGCAGGATTTGTTAACCTGATGCAGGATCAGTTAACTCATAGGGCAAAGTGTCTGTTAGGGCAAGCTTCTTATGATGGAGTTTTTGTTGTTGTTTTTTTAAATATATTTTTTATTGATTTCAGAGAGGAAGGGAGAGGGAGAGATGGAAACATCAATGATGAGAATCATGGATCGGCTGCCTCCTGCACGCCCCCTACTGGGGATTGAGCCTGCAACCTGGGCATGTGCCCTTGACCGGAATCGAACCCAGGAATCTACAGTTTGCAGGCCAATGCTCTATCCACTGAGCCAAACCGGCTAGGGCTTATGACGGAGTTTTACTCCCAACTCCAAAAGCCTATGGGACTCCACTCTCCAACATGATCAGATGGACATGGTACACCGGCAGCTGAGTCGTTCTGAGAGTCACCCAGGGGCTTCAACTGAAAGTGGAGGTCACAGAGGTGGGGGTCGGAATGGAGGTGCCCACATTCCCCAAACTCAAGAAATTATTTTTTCAAAATATTCTATTGATTGATTGAGAGATATCAATTTGTTGTTCCACTTATTTATGCATTCATTGGTTGATACTTTTATGTGCCCTTGACCAGGGACGGAACTGGCAACGCTGGGGTATGGGGACGATGCTCTAACCAACTGACCTACCTGGCCAGGGCCCCAAACTCAAGAAATTCTGGCTGACAGGCTCCCTAGGAAAGGCTCTCCAGGAAGCCATGCCCTCCCTTGCTGGGAGGAGGAGCAGAAAAGGGGCTGAAGTGGGGAAGGGATTTGGGGACAAGGGCAGTCAGGCCCCATGCCTTACCTTTATACAAAAATATGAAGAGTTCCAGCAGGAAATAGGTGGCATAATACCAGCCGTTCAGAAAGAAGAGGATTTCCAGGGGGGTGGAGGACAGCCGTTCACCTGCAGCGATGGGCAGAGGAGAGGGTGAGCGGAGGGCGGCTGACCTCTTAGACTGCTGTGTGTCCAACTTGGGGAAAACACCAGGTCGCGGCCAGTGGGAAGGGCCGCTTGGGACCCTCTGGCGGCTGGCAATTGGGGGGTGGGGTGTCGGCATAGGACGCGGAGGGGACTCCCTTCAATCCCTTCTTTCCTCGGAGTCAGTCAAACTCGACTCGGCTTCGGGGGTGGAAGTCACGTCCCCTCGGAGGTCTAACCCGGTCACTCTCTGGGTGGGGAGAGTGGGCGCAGGGTCCAGCACTGGCTTCTTCGGGGTCACTCAGCACGCTTATCCGTCACAGCCTAGGACTGGGCGGCATCTGAGAGACCCTCCCCCGAGACCTTCAGCATTCAGGACGGGGGGCGGCGAAGCCCGCTTCGGACAGGGAGGGGCCCCTAACGCCGAGAATGGAGGGAGGCAAGGGACAGGGGGCTGAGGGGACCGGAGCCACTCACACACCTCCGGAGCTCACCTCGCGCCGCCATCCTCGGTCCCCATGGAAACTGCATACGCGGCCGCCGCCGCCGCTCCGGAGCAGCGAGGCGCTACCGGAAGTAGGGACTGAGCGGCCCCCACTTCCGGCCCCTCTGCCCGCCAGCGCGCTCTATGGTCAGCGGGCCCGGAGGTCTCTGTGCCTGTGGCGTGTGTGCGGGGAGTAGCGCGGCCCGAAGGCGGCCTTCGCTGGGGACTTGGGCTCACCGAGACTTGGGGAACCGCGGTCGTCACGGAGCGGTCGGCTGGACCCGGGCAGGGCAGCTCTCGGGTCCTCCCCCCCCCGCCCCCCCCCCAGTTACAAGGCATTGGCTGAAGTGTTCAGTTGTGCCCGTCGGTGTGGCTCAGTGGTTGAGCGTGAACCTGTGACCCAGGAGGTCACGGTTGGATTCCTGGTCTGGGCACATGCTCGGGTGGCGGGCTCGATCCCCAGCAGGGGGCCTGCAGGAGGCAGCAGGTCCATGATTCTCTGTCATCGATGTTTCTATCTCTCCCTCTCCCTTCCTCTTCAGCGGTTCTCAACCTGTGGGTCGCGACCCCTTTGGGGGTCGAACGACCCTTTCACAGGGGTCGCCTAAGACCATCGGAAAACACATATATAATTACATATTGTTTTTGTGATTAATCACTATGCTTTAATTATGTTCAATTTGTAACAATGAAATTGGGGGTCACCACAACATGAGGAACTATTAAAGGGTCGCGGCATTAGGAAGGTTGAGAACCACTGTGACTTAGATCAATAAAAAAATATATATTTTGCTCTAGCTGGTGTGGCTCAGTGGATAGAGTGTCGGCCTGCGGACTGAAGGGACCCCCGTTCAATTCCTTGTCAGGGCACATGCCCGGGTTGCAGTCTGGATCCCCAGTGTGGGGCGTGCAGAAGGCAGCTGATCACTGATTCTTATCATTGATGCTTCTATCTCTCTGTCCCTCTCCCCTCCTCTCTGAAATCAATAAAAATATATTTAAAATATATATATATTTGAAGTGGTCAGTTGTGGCCATGTGACCACAGGACCCTCGCCCCACGATTCCCTTTTCTAACATCCGTCTGAAAACGAGGAGCGGTGTGCCTGACGGCGCTCTGCAAGCGCGGGGTGCGGTTAGGGGTCAGTTGTCTAGCGGGCAGCCTGGGCGGGGGGGCGGGGTGGTGTGCGTGGAATGTACCAGGTGATTAGAAGGCACCGACCTGGACCAGAACCGGAGGCTCCTTTCAAGGAGCACAAATCGGAGCACGTGATCAGCACGTGACCCATAGGGAGCTCGCGGGGGGCGGGGGGGGGGTCGCTGAGAGGACAGAGGACTCGCGGGAGTGGTGAGAAGTTCCCAAGAGGCGCCTGCAAACGGGGTTTTGAAGCCTCAGCAGGTGAGCAGTCCAGGTGCTCCTGCCCCGGGGAGCAGGAAGGAAAGGGTGTCGAGGGGCTCCAGCTGCCTTGGCTGTCAGCGTGGTTGTCAGCGTGGTGGGTCCGGTAGGGGAGGAAGCCGATGGCGCTCAAACCAGGTCATCTGGGTCGCCAGACTAAGGACAGCGCTGTGACCAGCTGGCCGCCGTGGAGGTGGGCGTCACTGTTACGTCCCAGGAAGGGACGGGGCAGAGCGATCCCCGCACCTGGAGAGCTGTGGGCAGGTGTCTCACTTGGGGAGAGGGTGAGAATGCCCCTGTGGGACTGTCCTGTCTTGAAAGGTGGAATATTAACCTCGAGGGAAGCTCGAAGGTGTGTGGGACGGTGCCCACGGAAGCTGGGCAGGCGAAACCAGACTCTGTTGTCTATATTTTGCCTCTTGGCTCTACATTGACCTTCAGCTCCCGCGCTGCGATGCTGGCCTGGCCTCGGCACCTCCCCCCTGTCCGCGAGGGCACCGCTCCCCTGTCCGAGAGGGCACCGCTCCCCTGTCCGCGAGGGCACCGCTCCCCTGTCCGAGAGGGCACCGCTCCCCTGTCCGCGAGGGCACCGCTCCCCTGTCCGAGAGGGCACCTCCCCCCTGTCCGCGAGGGCACCGCTCCCCTGTCCGAGAGGGCACCGCTCCCCTGTCCGCGAGGGCACTGGCGGGACTGGGGGAGGGAAGGGCTTGTCTTCCCCTCCGGGAGCCCTGGTTGCTTCTGGCTCGCGCACCAAGATCTACCAGCCTCGCATGTGCCTGGGCCTTCGGCCACCAGGTGGCGCTCTGCTCCAGCTGCACCTGGAGCAGGTTCTCCCAACCGGCTGAGGCGGGCCGCGTCCTCCTGTCCAGGATGCTGCCTAGGCCAGGCCTTGCACGCGGGCAATGCAGCTCCCTACCTCTGTGCACCTGGCCCTCAGCCTTGTTTACTGATGCCCTGGACCGTTTTCCCAAAGCCCTCCTGGCGTGGGCTCTGTACCCACAGCAGTGCCCAGCTCACTCCCTCAGCTCATCCACTTCCGCTCTTCTCCCCAGAGGGTCGGTTCCCATTACCTGCCACGCCCCGTGTGGGCATCACACACTCCAGGCCTCCTGCACACAGAGCTGCCACTCCTGGCGCCCCTGCCCACCAGCCGTGGCTCACCTGTGCCAGGAGGGTTGTTCACAGGCCTCTGGTTTGCAGTTAATTTGTTGTTAATTTTATCACCTCTGTATGTGGTGTGTGGTTTTTCTCTTGCCACTTTCAAGATTTGCTCTTCATCTTTAGCTTTCAATAATTTGACTGTGATGTGTGTAGGTGTGGCCTTGTTTTTTATTTTATTTTTATGTCTATTTTGTTGATTTCAGAGAGAAACATCAATGATAAGAGAAAATCATTGATCAGCTGCCTCCTGCACGCCCCCTACTGGGGATCGAGCCCACAACCCCCACATGTGCCCTTGACAGGAATTGAACCTGGGACCCTTCATTCCACAGGTGGAGGCTCTATCCACTGAGCCAAACCGGCTAGGGCAGTGGTTGGCAAACTGCAGCTCGGCAAACTGCAGCTCGTGAGCCACATGCGGCTCTTTGGCCCCTTGAGTGTGGCTCTTCCACAAAATACCGACTTCTGCTCATGGGCCACGAAGTTTCAATCGCACTGTATGTGCGCGCCCGCACGTGGTATTTTGTGGAAGAGCCACACTCAAGGGGCCAAAGAGCCGCAGGTGGCTCGCGAGCGCAGTTTGCCGACCGCTGGTCTAGGCCAAGGTCCCCCACCAACACGTCTGCCCCTCGGGGCTCTCTCAGCTGCAGGCAGTGCCCCCAGGAGCAGAGAAGGCAGGACACGGGGAAATAGCGGTACCCTGCCCGCCCTCGGTGCTGCCCTCAGAGCCACAGGCTGAGCCGGGCCCGCCCGGCGCTCACCAACAGCTCCGGGAAGTTGCAGGTGAAGCGCAGCAGGTGGGAGGTGGTGTAGGCCGCCCGGCTCTGCTCCTGCTCCTTCTCCGACATCGTGAGCCACGGCAGGATGATCTGGAGGAAGGACAGGCCTCAGCACCTTCCCCGGCCCCTCCCGCCTCGGCCTGAGCCCGCATCCCTGACGACAGAAGGCCAAAGAGACACACAGATGGGCCTGGCCA